TTTCAGTAGCTAAAAAACACGCTTCCCTACTTGACTCCGTAAGTTAATAAAACAAACAAATTTTCCAATAGTTTTAGCCTTCATTGTGACCATACAAAATGTGTAAATAAATGCACTATAACAAGATGATCATGTAACACCTAATCTGCATAAATCTTTTCCAACTTCATAGAACGGTCAAGAGGATCATAGAGATGATATAACCAACAAGATATTTTGGCTCAACTAATCCAAAACTAAAGCCCACTCAGCAAACAGAAAAACAGAAATTGGGATGGGAAACTGTTCAGAAACTCCCCTAAACATCCTTAAAACTCTTTAGTTGTTATTCGCACCAGCAAAAAAAATAGACCTCTTAGAAACAGATAAGAAAACAGTAGATGTTTCTTACAGTAATTTGATTAAAACTTCGGTCCACAGCCATCTGCACCATCTTTCTCCAGACATCATTGCTAACCAGGGCATCAGTAGTTATAACCTAGAAGATTGGCATTACAAAATGAAGAGCATGCCCTTTCTCGGGAAGGAATAGTAAATCAGTAAAGACACCTACACCAAGCATTGTGGCCATATTAGGGTGAATCATCCCAGAACCTTTTGCCATCCCTCCAACTCTTATACAAGTTCCCCAACCTGGCCAAAGCATCACGTCCATAGAAAATAAACAATTTGATTAGTGAAATCCAAGAACAAGTCATTTTTTAATAAAGAGACAATGTTAAAAAAAAACACAAATGGTAAAGAATTTCTACAATTTTGACTAGCTAATCTGACCCGAAAGCATTCATGAGTTGCTTGTTCAACTGTCCCTCAGAGACACGGTCGAGAAGTACCATGCATGGTTGCCCCCGTCCTTTCTTTCTCTCGGTCCCACCAGAGAAAGTGTGAATTTATAGGGTCAAAGGTAAAATTATATGGAACTTTATGAGGAGCATATTGTCATTAGAACACTACGATCTTGGCTATGTGCATTTCGATTCTCAAATGCTTCAGATATTGAGAAGTCTCTGATTATCTATGTCATGTGGACTTCTCGTGCAAATAGGTATCGATATGGGATCTTTTTCCTACATGTCTGACTGTACAAGCATCCAGCAAACGCATTCAATCACTCTAGTTAAATGTACGATTGTAATAAATCTCTGTTACTAGATTACTTTATTCACAGTTGCTTCAAAATAAGTGTCTGCAAAGACCACTACGCCATATTTCAACACCATATAATCCTATGCAACTGAACATTACCCAAAAAAACTACGAGTATTAAACCATGTGCCCTGTGTTTCTGTTTCCTCAGATCAGAGGATTAGGAAAAATGTATGATGCATATACCACAATCACAATGGACACATTATAACACAAGGGTGATCCTATATTGCATATACAAGACACTAGAAGTCAAAAGCAATTAAGTAAATCAAGCAATTATCAAGTATCTGCAGAGCATATGTGCACATGTCTTGCCATAATTTATTTTCTTCAATGAGATTGGGAAGGTGCTAAGTGTCCCTTGATACAAAATTCAAAAGATTCTATCAACATTAGAACATTGAATTGAGTATATGGCAAAACCGCGTCCAACTACTTGTAGTCAGCTGATGTTGAAAACATACCCTCCAGCAAAAATTATATAGTGTCTATGCTCTGTATCTATAACCACCGAAAGAGGTCTTGAGGTTGTACACATTCATCCCACATCACATTGCAGCGAGTGACAATACATATATTGACTGCATCATAAATGCTGATAACAACATTATGGCATGTACCAGATAACAGATTTACGCACCTCAGACTCAATTGCCACACTCTTGCTCACAAGGTCAGTGGTAGTTATTGCCACAGCTGCAGATCCTGCTCTGCAAATCCGTTTGATGAGATTCAATAATGTCTATATGGAATAAGATGTGGAAAGTAAAAAAGAATGATCAAAATTATATAGAAAATTGAAACTGAGAGTGCAATTTCAAGAGAGAGAGAGAGAGAACCATATGACATTATCATTGCAAAATCAGATGGGCTATATAAATAAATAAAACCAAGTCAATTTATGAATATGGAACCACATCACTTACACAAAATAAGAATTTAATGATATGGGCACGAAAATTACCCCTGAACAGTTGATGATAGCAAAGTTACCAGTTTAGGAAGTGAATTGAGAAGGGCTTCCTGCATATAATATTACAATGGAGAATGCCAGTTATGTATGGCTGAAATGCGACAGAGTACATTAAATAAATATGTCAGGTAAAAGAAGCATGATATGAAAGTTCAAACAACTAACATGGTTTGTGCCCATTGTACAATTCAAAACCATATTCACAAAATATGTAGAGTGTTAGTTCTACCTTCTTTATCCTGTGGCCAATCACACCTGTAGATTCAATCAACACTTCTTCCGGTTTTAGTTGCAGTAACTACATAAGAGGGAAATTGGTATCAAAAGATAAACTATGCCTCCTGGTACCACATTAAAGAATGATGCATTCTACACATCAAAACTGGAATACCTTAGCAAGGGCATTTGAACATTCTACTACATCCTGGTAACCTGCATTACCCTGAAAACCATTTAGGGTTTTTTTTAGCAACTTAATACTCAATTCTGAATCACAATAATGACACATCATCAGAAAGACTTTAAGAAATCTAAATTTTTGCAGCAGTTATGCACAGTCCAGACCCGAAGAATTTTTGTTGTTGTTTGCAGTCAAACCATATGTAATCTGAAACTAATGAAGAAACAGAATACAGAAATGTCCACTTTTCAGACAAGCACTTTGTCTGAAGACTCTGAAGAAATAGTAGTTGGTGAAACTCCTAGCTATCGCCAATCTCTTAAAAAACTTACCGTTGCAGCATTTGCTTGACCAGCATTTATTAGCACAGCACGAGCCTGATAAGTTGAACAATAAAGTTATTAAATGACAATCTATAATACAGGACCAAAAAAGAGAATTCAAACTTAGATGAGAACAAACAAGACTAAGTTATTTGTCTAGAGGACAGAGCATTTCCATAGTTCCCAAAAAACATATGGATTCGAGAAGAAGTAAAATTAGGAAACCATAGAGCTTATGACAAGGGCTGTTGCCTGTTGTAGTGGTAAAGTGTCTGGCAAACAACCATGAAGTTGTGGGTTCAAATAATGATGTAGTAGATCCATTCTGTGTCCATCTCTCCTAGCACCCTTGATTAACGGGTATTTGAGAAACAAACTAGGTAATGGCCCTTTAGAGATTATAGGTAGCTGTAGCAAGAAAGCATAAACGCAATTCATACCACTACACAATGACACGAAAATTTTGCCTTTATAAAGAAAGAAAATGAAGAAAAGGACAAATAGGATAGCACATTGCACGAGACTCCCACCCACGGTCTGGGGAGGATATAAGATGAAGTACGCAATTTTTTCCCTTCGGTTGTATTCCATATCTACAGATGTATATTTTTCCTGCAAACAACTCTGCCTCTCAGGTTGAGCACAAAAGTATGTTGCTCATGATGCAGCCTTCTACTGAATCAGTTTGACGCACATAATATAAAGTAAAATGGACAAGCACATTTATCATCACCAGCTCCTATTTCTCCAAAGATCTCAAAGATTGAAATCCAAGCATGACCATGAACAAGTGGAATATACATACTGAAAGATCACTTGAAAGATGTACATTACACAGTTACATTGCATACAGAGAGTACCAAAGAGACAACACCGATAAATGAGCCAATATGGCTCATTCATTTGAAGGAAGAAAAAATATTTTGGTGGGTGACGTAAAAGATCATCATGATAACACTGTAGTAAATTATGCAATGCTCATAATTTGAGCGACCCAAAATAATCAGGATTAAGACTTTGCTGCTATAAGTAGAGTAGTACATGTATTTTAACTTTTTCATATAAACTTTCCATAACTTCAGCATTGCTTTTAAATGATTAGTTGAATAAACCAAACTTTGACCTACCGTGGTTGAAATATCTAATACATTTTTGCAGTATAATACTGGTGCAGCTGCAACCACATTTGTAGTAAATGCCCCTGGAAAATTTTGGACACGAACAGGTTAAAAGATGAAATATCAAAGGTGATATTGATTTACTAAGACAAATTTTTTTCTGCGGTATATTTTACAAAAGCACACAACTCTTGGAAAGTAAAATAGTTAGAAGGTATGATCATTTTTAGCCAAATTAAGAACCAGTCATAACAAAGAATGATCACGCGAGAGTCCACCAAATTGGAAGCTAACCTGCAGATACGGCATCTACATCACAAGTGACCAGTGCTAGATCAGGCTTCTCGCCTTTGGCGCGCAATCCACCATACATCCCTGCAGCTTTGAATCCCTTTGCAGCAGTAACTCCACCGGGAATCTAGAGTTACAAACCTTACATTGGTTAAAAACCATATTTCATCATATGAATCACAATAAATCATGAAATAAAGAAGTAAAATTTTGGAGTAATTTTTATTTTCTTTTTTTCCAGGTGTAGACCTGTAGTATTAAAGTAATATCAACCATGGGAGAATAACAAACTAAAAAGAACCAGCATCCAAGGCATGCTTGTTCCATGTGTTGGATTTGACTAGCGCTATTAGTTAACATGATATTCTTAAGTGCATATAGAGAGATTGTAAACTGATCCTCTCTCTCTCCCTCTCTCTCTCTCTCTTCGTATGTGTGTGTGCGTGCGTGTGTGTGTGTGTGTGTGTTTATTGTACTTCTCTGGCCATGCAACTAATTCAATGTTATAGGTTTTGCTGTAACGGTAGGCAACCTGTTCCATAACAACTGCACTAACATCGGAAGTACGCCAAACACAATAAAGCCATTCAATTCCCACAAAATAATTACATATCTGATTAAGATTACACAACTGGCGTGCTTGTACATACAAATATGCATGTCTATATCAAATCACTAAATCACATTATCAATTAAACAGAGCATTAACACAGCCAAAATTCCTCACCTGCTTCCATGGCCCTTCGGGCAGAAATATTGGAGCTGCTGGTACGTAATTTGATGCCTCAGCTGAAACTGATGAAACATCAAATACCCTAAAATCTCTTCTGGAAGAACCTAACCGGTCCAAAATCTGCAACATAGCATTCCTTCTACTTACACTAAAGTATTACAAAGAATTCTAAATTTCACTCAAAATACCTAATGTTCTGTTTGGTTGCTGAAAAAAAAAATCGAAGAGTACAATAAAACTAAACAAAATAGAATAAAAAGCTTCAAGCTTCACCATTTTCTTTAGTTTCAGATTTTGAGTTATGCAACTAAACTAAGCCAATGCATGAAGTACAAAAATTTTACACAACCAAAGAGTAAAATTAGCATAATTCTAGAAATTTATTATTGGTACAAAGTACTCCATTGTGACTTAGAGATCACAGATTCGATCACGGAAATAGTCTCCGGATAAGACTGCGTACATCTAAACCTCTCTCTCCGGACCTCGCAATGGCGGGATGGTATGCCAAATACTATCATACCTCAGACACTCAAAGAAAAAAATGAAAAAAATATATTCTTTTACAGCGATGTTACAAGATAAACTGATAAACACAAGGTGGAAGCCTTTTGCACCGCGTATGCCAAATATCACCATACCTCAAACTCTCAAAAAAAAATTTGAAAAAAAAATCTATTCTTTTCCAGCTTGGAGTAAGGGATTGTCCACCTCATCACCCCGAAGAGCAGTGACTCTGTTGTTTTGCACGCCTACAGAGAGAGACTCCAAAAATATCGACGCTCAGAAAGAGCAATCAACTATATGCTTCACTCATGCCCCAGAAATCCCTAGACACGGGGGTACAAGCTAATCTTTTACAGGAGGGAAAGCTGGGGCAAAGCATAGAGCGTGCGGGCTCAGCTCTCGCCCTCCTCCCACCCGCAAAGCTGAGGCGGGAGAAAAAGAACTCCCCGGTGTCATAGGTTACCTTTCTATCTTCCTCCCCCCTGATGTTACAAGATAAACTGATAAACCAAAACTTGTGAAGCAAGTGAGTCCATTTAATTACATGTGAGTGATTATTAGTTCCCTCTGGCCTCATGATCAATTTTCCTTTCTTTTTCCAACTTTTTTTCTGGGCAACCAAACCGAATATCTAGAGTAGTTTGGGAAAGGAAATTGAGACTGACCTTTGGGCCATTGAGGTCTGGGAATTTGATGGAAACGTAATAAGGAAACCCGATAGTCATTGTTTGGCGATCAAGTTGGTCTTCGGCCACTGAGACAAATTTCGTGAATGGTTAGTAGGGTTTTGCTCTGAACTGCACAGCGGAAGTGCGGGTATTTTGCAAGCATTTTTAATAATAACACAAGACATACATATAGCGCAGATGCTCTAACCCAAACAGAGAAAGCACGCGAATCACGTGATAAATTATTTAATCAATAGAGCTGAGTTTGAATTTTAAAGACAAAGAGATTTTCAGATTATTTTAAAATAAAACATAAATATGTCTAATGGACAATGTAATTTCAATATAAAAGATGGTTCATATCATCTTATAAATATTGATTCGACAATCATAATTGGACTTAACTCTAACACTTCTATCTTTCATATAATTCTCTCTCTTACCTTTTAGATATTTTAAACACACTATCTCATCTCCTCTGTCTTATCTCATCTCCTCTCTCTCTTTATATATATATCTATATAATAAAGTAGAACGAAGTTTGAATCCAAAAAATAATGAGAGGTTCAGATCATTTTGAGACAAAACATAAACACATCCTACAGACAACGTAATCCCTATATAAAAAGACAGTTCAGATCATCTAAAAATTTTTGATATAACGATTAACAATGAGAACCATATTTTTCTTTCCCGCCCAACACAAGACTCTGTCTCACGCCTCTCTCTCCCAATCTATCACGCCTCTATCACATGGAATTCATTTCAAATCTTCTCTCAATCTCAAATCTTCTTTATATCATCCCCAAAATTTCTCACATGAACGATAATGGTGAGTCGTTAGTGAATCAAGAAAAGTTTCTCAGTTGGAACCCTCGAAATTAAAGAGCAAGGCCAAGGCGTGATGTGTGAGTGAGGCTTCTTCTTTAGCCCAGGTACATATTTTCTTGTATTGCTTTTGGTTTTCATTCCTCTCCATTGTAAATTTGTTGTCCAGGTACATATATTTTGAGATGGGTTTCTATTTGTTTGTGCATTCTTCAGTCTGTTTGTGTATTCCTCTGTCTGTTTGTGTATTCCTCGGTCTGTTTCTATGTTGATAGGAGTGCCAACTTTGATTGCTCAAAATTTGATAACAGCTTCGGTTTTTCATGCTCCATTAAATTGGATTTGATTGACATAAATGTCGAACCTTAAGTGAATTATTCATTGACGTATCTTCTTTATTTTGTGATCTTGGATTATATTTTTGTTGAATTTGTTTGGTTGTTTTTAATCTAATGTGAGTTTTTGTGTAGCACAAGTCTCTGGATGAGCTCCAATCCTTCATCCAAGAACATTTTGGTTCAAGGGGGTTTTGCTGTGATCAATGGTGACTTCTGTATCTGTTAATGTGTTTATTGTTTTTTCATTTTTTTTATTAGGGGCACCGTCAGATCCTCCATCTGGGTTTCCCTTGCCTGATAAGAAGACTTTGGAGTTAATCCTTGATAAGCTTCAGAAGTGGGTTTTAGAATTGTAATTGGATTCTATTTTGTTACCTTTTTGGTTAGAGCATTTTTTTAGTGTTCAATTGATTTGGTTTGGTTATGGCAAGAAAGACATTTATGGTGTTTATGCGGAACCGGTTGATCCTGAAGAGGTATGTCTGCATGTTCCAGTCATACTTTTGTGTTATTGGAAGGCATTGCTTGAATTGGAGTTTATAATTTTGTTTGTTGTGTTGTAGCTTCCTGATTATCATGATGTTATCATAATTTTGTTTGTTGTTATTCTTATTTTCTTTGGGTGTATTTGTAGTTGAAAAATAATAGTCACTTTATGATGCAGCTTCTTAGAGTAATAGTCAATTTTTAACATAATTATCCTGTTACTCTTAGCTCAAGTGATAAAGGATTTCCAACTCCTATTTTAATGCTGAATGTTTTAATCTTTTATCCATGTTAAGAGAAAATACCCTATTACATTGACAGTAGCAAATACCTTGTTGTTGGAAAACTCCATCAGCTATATGCAGCAGCTAGAACAGTCACTGTTCACACGACTGTTCAGCTGTTGCCCTCAATTCATTAAAGACAACAGCTGCTCCTCTCTTTTTCCAGTTGTTACTTCTCAGCTATTAAAGTGCAGCTGAACCATTGTTTCAGTTGACATGTCTGAATCTTTCAGCTGGAATTTCAAGCGGGCTGTTTGCTGAACTCCAACCTGCTAATTCCTTCCTCTTAATGTAGTTTGCAAACTTGAAAGTACTTTTCACATTCTGTTCATTCACATTGCTGTTTGTATTAACATATTATAATTCTCTGAGGCCATAGTTTTCTTCTCCTTCCTGTTAAAAGTGTAAATTGAAATATGTAAAATTTGAAGCTAGCAGCTGATATAACTGAATCGAACATAACTCAGTCCTATGCAGTCATAATAAATCCTTAGATGCATCATATGCCAAGATTTGGTCAGATTGTTCCAAAGGTTCCAAGGTACAAATGATACGAATAGGATGACTAATGAGAGCCAATAATTAGTACATATGATATATTCAAATTCTGCGTTGGTGAGTTCATGCATAGTTAGCCCTGTTGGTAAAAAGAAATGGAAAGAAGTGTTTTCGAACTATTGTTTCAACTGACATTGCCCTCAATTCATTCAAGAAATTTATTTAATTGCTTGCTTGGATAGGAACCACTTAAACACTTTTGAATGTTGACATCATTTTTTAGACACATTGGTTTTTTCCTTCAAATTTATTATCAATGTTTAGCTTAATTCCCTTATGGTTGTGTATTCAGTGTGTAATTTCCAACAAAAATGGTTTAACTTTTGTTTGTGGGTTTCGACACGTGGGCAATTGTTGGTTGTAAGGGCAATTGTTTTCCAATTTTGGGCAATTGCTTTATATTATTGAAGGAATTTTCTTTGTTAAATTGAGTTTATAATTATGTTTTGTTATTGAATTGGATTATTGTAATGGCGACGAATATAAGAAAAATTTTATTGATTTCATTTATTACTTTAAGATTGTAAATCTGATTTGGTTTTATTGGTATTTTTTTTTCCTAATGTATTTGTATGTTTTGTTGCTTTGGATAATTTTTTTTTCATTTTTTACAAGTAACGCAATGCCTTTAGGCACGGGCAATTATTACTATATCTATATAATAAAATAGCTAGATTTATTTGTCTTTAATTTTTTATGGCTCAGATTATTTTTAGGCATTTGATTCAACGATCATAATTGAACTTAACTATAACACTCATATCTCTCATATAACTTTCTCTCTCCTATCTCTTAGAGGTTTTAAACACACACTATCTCATCTCCTCTTTCTCTCTCTCTCTCTCTCTCTCTCTCTCTCTTTATATATATATATATATATATATAATAAAGTAGCCACATTCCTTTGTCTTTAGTTTTTCGCGGCTCAAATCACTCGAAGAAATATTGATCCGACGGTCTTAATACGAAAAGTCCTATCCCCCCAATATTTTGAGTAAGACTTTCATTCATTCCATAATTCTAAAACTTCTATCTCTCTATTTCATACTACACATTAATTAGGTCATTAATTATGATTCTAATTAAAGATTATTTTTAAAAAATTTAAATAAACAAATAGACCTTAAATAAATATTTATTGCATCAAAACGAGTCGAATGATTATAATATATGTCATATTTTGTATTGAAATAAAAATACTATAATATTCGAATTGTGTAATGTGATATATCTATATACTAAGGGGGCTATCATTATTTGTCTTGAATTTTTCGTGACTTAGATTCTTTTAAGATTATTGATCAAATGATCAAAATTCCTCGATTATCGATTCGAAGTGATTATGATTAGTATTCAAAGTGATTATGATTATTTTTACAATCAAAGTGAAATTGATTGTAAAAATAATAAAAAATAACTAAATTAAAAAAAAAAAAGAAGTTATGACATCATAGTGAATA